TCCCAATATACAGCCTCAGATCCAGCATCCCGGTGGTGAGGCCTCTGGGAGAGACATATGGTTGCTGTTGCACCCAGGCCAGAAGACCTCTGACTTAAAAATACACCACACAGCTGCGTAATGCAGCAGTTTTTGTAGGTATTTAAAAAACATTGCATAAAACACTCCAGAATAGGTATCCAGTTGTCCCAGCCTCCATACGCAAGTCCCGTGAGTGAGCTATCTGAGAGAGTACACTGGTCTCTGACAATTGTTGCACTCCAGGTCAGGAAGAAGCCCTCTGACTTAAAAACGCCACACAGCTGAGTAAAAATGCAAGCAGTTTATTGAAGGTAATTTAAAAAAAAACATTAGCAGTAAAAGCACTCCAAAGAAATAGGTAAATCCAAATAGGTAGAAAGATAAGCAGGAACAAATAATCCAGGAAATAAATCCATCAAAGTACATGAAAAACCCAAACAGAAACTTCCAAGGTAAAACTCCAAATCATGAAATCAAACAAGGTATAACTTGAATCTAGCCAAGGCAAGACTGCAAGGTTCGTCACTATGTCTTGATCCAGTTCCAATGTTGCTTCGTCTGACCACAGATTCTGTACTTGGCACTTTTATCCCCTAATCTACTCTAAATCCCTGCCAGAAACTTGTTTCTTGTCAGCCTAGACTCTGTTACCAATTTCTCTCTCAACCTGGCTGAGTGCTTGAGAGATGGTGAACTATTCTATTCTGTCTGAAAACATGCCTTCTATCTTCTGGCTCCTTAATTTCTGCCACTGGTCCCGGTGCCGAGCTTTTCCAAGGCCTGGGAATTCTCTGGTAGTAATTCAGGCCCTCTTCCAGAGACCATCCCATCATCCCCCAACTCTTCAGGAACATTCTCATCGGCAAAGACACTTTCAACAGGAATCCAGGTGTCATTCTCTGCATCTGAAGCACCCTCATCATTAGAAACAGCGTTGTCATTGTCGTTCCCAACATCATCAGAACCAGCATTGTCATTTCCAACATCAGGAGTGTCCTGATCATTAGACACAGTCACAGGATGAACTCCAACAGTCAGTCAATGAGTGGTATTGACACCCCCCCCCCCACCTTTTCTTTGCACAGGTCCTCCTGCAGCCGCACTTCATCAAGGCCGACTCCCTGCTGCTGACCACTGTCTCCGGAGCCAAGGCTGGACCTGGAATCACCTCTTTGGCCACCACCACTGCCGTCCAGCCCACCTCTCTCCAGGTGAGCCCAGTTGGCATCTTTCAGTGAAGCACCATTGCAGGACCTAGAGTTTGCTAGAGAGAAAATGGCGGTTTTATGCCGGATTTAAATCCATACTTTAAAGCAGTGGTTCCCAACCTTTTTGTGACCAGGGACCCCTTTGACCAGGGACCCCATTGACCAGGGACCCCTTTGACCAGGGACCCCTTTGACCAGGGACCCTTTTGACCTGGGACCCCTTTGACCGGGGACCCCTTTGACCGGGGACCCCATTGACCGGGGACCCCATTGACCGGGGACCCCTTTACCGGGGACCCCTTTGACCGGGGACCCCATTGACCGGGACCCCATTGACTGGGGACCCCTTTGACTGGGGACCCCTTTGACCGGGGACCCCTTTGACCGGGGACCCCTTTGACCGGGGACCCCATTGACCGGGGACCCCATTGACCGGGGACCCCATTGACCGGGGACCCCATTGACCGGGGACCCCATTGACCGGGGACCCCTTTGACCGGGGACCCCTTTGACCGGGGACCCCTTTGACCGGGGACCTCTCTGACCAGGGACCACATTGACTAGGAACCGCTTTGACCAGGGACCCCATTGACCAGGGACCCCATTGACCAGGGACGACTCTCCAACATTAGTACCAAGAGGGTTATGAATCCTTTTTTTGGTTAGCTTAGATTCGGTTGCTCATATACATCCACTGATCCGGTTATTGAGTGACGACTCCAAAATAATTAAGCGGGATTTGGGGACCCTTAGTTTAAAAAAGTAACTTTTTTGAGTTTGGATGTCATTGTCCACCCTCCACAATTCTGGTTTTGACTTTGAGGGATGCAATGAATATGTTCTCTGTCGGAATCTCGAGGTATTCCAGGGCAACTCTGCGATCAGCGTTTGCCAGTGTTGACCCTGTAGTTTTTCTGGAGGACCTAGAGCAGTGGTTCTCAACCTGTGGGTCCCCAGATGTTTTGGCCTTCAGCTCTCAGAAAACAGCTGGTAAACTGGCTGGGATTTCTGGGAGTTGTAGGCCAAGACACCTGGGGACCCACAGGGTGAGAACTACTGACCTAGAGATTCCTAAACAGGGCACATCTCTGTGGTCTCCAGCATGACTCTGTGGTCCACATCCGTCTTCTGCTTACGTTTTCCGGCTCCGAAGGGTTAGAGGGCAGGCTAACCCTTCTCCGTTTTCCCTCCTCTTCCAGACCCTGGTGAGCGGTGGCACCATCCTGGCTACGGTGCCCCTCGTGATGGACACGGACAAGCTGCCCATCAACCGCTTGACCGCGGGGAAGCCCTTGTCTGGCCATAACAAAGGCGAGAAGCGCACGGCACACAACGCCATCGAGAAGCGCTACCGCTGCTCCATCAACGACAAGATCTGTGAGCTCAAGGACTTGGTGGTCGGCACAGAAGCCAAGGTAGGGAGGCTAGCATGTGCTATTTCCAATTTCAAGGAATTTGTATTTGGATCGCATCGATGTCACCCAGATATCTGACAAGATTGAAAGAGCGGACTTGAAAGAGTGGGTTGTCGACAAGCGGGGTCTCCTGTGCCATTTGATCTCTTTGCTCCTCCTTTTGCTTCATTTCCACCATCCACCTCTCTTCTCTGTTCTTCCTATAAATGGACTTTCTTGCTTTTTGTCTTGCTGGACAGCTGAACAAGTCGGCCATTTTGCGCAAGGCGATTGACCACATCCGGTTCTTGAAGCAGGCCAACCAGAAGTTGAAGGCAGAGAACTTGGCCCTCAAGATGGCTTCCCAGAAGAACCGTAAGTTTTGTAACTCTTTGGCCAAACATGCCAGATTCGGTTCGAGGGGAAAAAATAGTTTCCAAGCTCAAAAGCAAAATTTGGGCCATTGGGGAAGAAAATAATAATAATAATAATAATAACAACAACAACAACAACAAAAAACAAGAAAACAACTTATTATTATTATTATTATTATTATTATTATTATTATTATTATTATTTTCTTCCCCAATGGCCCAAATTTTGCTTTTGAGCTTGGAAACTATTATAATAATAATAACAACAACAACAAAACAACATCATATTATTATTATTATTATTAATATTGCAATATTATATTATATTATTCTATTCTATTATATATTATATTAGACTCTGGCACAAGCCAGTCAAGGTGGTCCCAGTGGTGATCAGCACACTGGGTGCAGTGCCTAAAGACCTTGGCCTGCACTTAAACACAATCGGTGCTGACAAAATTACCATCTGCCAGCTGCAAAGGCTAGCTTACTGGGATCTGCACGCATTTTCGCGATACATCACACAGTCCTAGACACTTGGGAAGTGTCCGACGAGTGATCCAAACAACAGCCAGCAGAGTGAATGCTGTGGACTCATCTTGTTGTGTTTCATAAAATAATACGAGGATTTAAAGATTAACTGCAAAGACTCTGGCACAAGCCAGTCAAAGGTGGTCCCAGTGGTGATCGGTACACTGGGTGCAGTGTCCTAAGAGAGAAGGCAGGATATACCTATTAATAAGCAGACGTAAAAGGAAACTCACTCAGACTCTTCTTTTGCCGAGGCGGCAGCAGAATCTGGCTGAATAGGCACCCTGCCTGGGGCAGCTGTAAAGAAACAACACAGTTGGATTATCCCAGTGAAAGTTAAAAACTCCAAACACTAAGATAGACTAATAACAACAACAACTGCAAAGACTCTGGCACAAGCCAGTAAAGGTGGTCCCAGTGGTGATCGGCACACTGGGTGCAGTGCCTAAAGACCTTGGCCTGCACTTAAACACAATCGGCGCTGACAAGATTACCATCTGCCAGCTGCAAAAGGCCACCTTACTGGGATCTGCACACATTATTCGATACATCACACAGTCCTAGACACTTGGGAAGTGTCCGACGTGTGATCCAATACAACAGCCAGCAGAGTGATTGTCTGCTCTGGACTCATCTTGTTGTGTTTCAAATAATAATAATAATAATAATAATAATAATAATAATAATAATAATAAAAAACAACTGGAAAAGCTGACACGATATGAGGATTTAAAGATCAAACTGCAAAGACTCTGGCACAAGCCAGTCAAGGTGGTCCCAGTGGTGATCGGCACACTGGGTGCAGTGCCTAAAGACCTTGGCCTGCACTTAAACACAATCGGTGCTGACAAGATTACCATCTGCCAGCTGCAGAAGGCCACCTTACTGGGATCTGCACGCATTATTCGCCGATACATCACAGTCCTAGACACTTGGGAAGTGTCCAACGTGTGATCCAATACAACAGCCAGCAGAGTGTCTGCTGTGGACTCATCTTGTTGTGTTAATAATAATAATAATAATAATAATAATAATAATAATAATAATAATAATAAGCAGCGAAACAACTGGAAACTTGACATGATATGAGGATGTAAAGATCAAACTGCAAAGACTCTGGCACAAGCCAGTCAAGGTGGTCCCAGTGGTGATCGGCACACTGGGTGCAGTGCCTAAAGACCTTGGCCTGCACTTAAACACAATCGGTGCTGACAAGATTACCATCTGCCAGCTGCAAATGGCCACCTTACTGGGATCTGCACACATTATTTGCTGATACATCACACAGTCCTAGACACTTGGGAAATGTCTGACGTGTGATCCAGTACAACAGCCAGCAGAGTGTCTGCTGTGGACTCATCTTGTTGTGTTTCCTATAATAATAATAATACGAGGATTTAAAGATTGAACTGCAAAGACTCTGGCACAAGCCAATCAAGGTGGTCCCAGTGGTGATCGGTACACTGGGTGCAGTGCCTAAAGACCTTGGCCTGCACTTAAACACAATCAGTGCTGACAAAATTACCATCTGACAGCTGCAAAAGGCCACCCTACTGGGATCTGCATGCATTATACGCTGATACATCGCAGTCCTAGACACTTGGGAAGTGTCCAATACAACAGCCAGCATAGTGATCTTGTTTGCTGTGTACTAATTTTGTTGTATATGTAATAATAATAATACCCTTCTGGAAGCGGCGTGTGTGATAGTTTTGAGATATTGCCAGGGACTTATGCCTTTGGGCACCGTTCTCTCTTGCCGCCACAGAGTCACTAAAAGACCTGGTAGCCCCAGGGAAGATGGAAGACTCGTCCGAGGGGGTGAAGCTGATGGACGCCCTGACGCCACCACCCTCCGATGCGGGCTCCCCATCCCACAGCAGCCCACTCTCCTTTGGAGGCACCAGCGGAAGCGATTCGGAGCCTGAAAGTCCCTTCTGCGTGGAGGCCAAGGTGGGAACAGAGTCTCCTCTCAGCCTTCTCTTCTTCAGGCTAAACATGCCCAGCTCTTTAAGCCGCTCCTCATAGGGCTTGTTCTCCAGACCCTTGATTATTTTAGTTGCCCTCCTCTGGACACATTCCAGCTTGTCAATCTCTCTCTTGAATTGTGGTGCCCAGAATTGGACACAGTATTCAAGATGTAGTCTAACCAAGGCAGAATAGAGCATGGGGAGCATGACTTCCTGGATCTAGACCAGTGGTTCTCAACCTTCCTAATGCCGTGACCCCTTAATACAGTCCCTCATGTTGTGGTGACCCCCAACCATAACATTGTTTTCGTGGCTACTTCATAACAGCCATTTTACTACTGTTATAAATCATAATGTAAATATCAGATATGCAAGATGTATTTTCATTCAGTGGACCAAACTGGGCACAAATACCCAATGGATCCACATGTAAATGCTAGTTGGGTTGTGGGAGGATTGATTTTGTAATTTGGGAGTTGTAGTTGCTGGGATTTATAGTTCACCTATAGTCAAAGAGCATTCTGAACTCCACCAGCGATGGGTTTGAACCTAATTTGCCACACAGAACTCCCATGGCCAACGGAAAACACTGGAAAGGTTTGGTGGGTATTGACCTTGAGCTTGGGAGTTGTAGTTCACCTATATCCAGAGAGCAGTGTGGACTCACACAATGGTGGATCTGGACCAAACTTGGCACGGATACTCAATATGCGCAAATGTGAACACTGGTGGAGCCTGGGGAAAATAGACCTTGACTTTTGGGAGATGTAGTTTCTGGGATTTATAGTTCATTACAATCAAAGAACATTCTGAACTCCACCAATGATAGAATTGGCTCAAACTTCTCACATGGAATCCCCATGACTATCAGAAAATACTGTGTTTTCTGATGGTCTTTGGCGACCCCTCTGACACCCCTTCGCGACCCCCTCAGGGGTCCCGACCCCCAGGTTGACAAACACTGATCTAGACACTATATACTCCTATTTATGCAGGGCAAAATCCCAACAACATTGGACGGTGTTGCCCGTGCTAGGACTAAGTTTTTATGGGTCAATCATCGAGCCTTTCTGGTTCAGCTGGGATCCAAACATGGCTACACCAAAGTTTCCGTCTTCTTCATCTGTTGTTGTTGATATTTTGTAGGTGAAGCAGGAAAGCCAAGCATCGTCTCCAGGCAGCCTGGGGATGCTGGATCGATCGCGGATGGCCCTCTGCGCTTTCGTCTTCCTCTGCCTCTCTTTCAACCCTCTCTCCTCACTGCTGGGAGGAACCGGCTCCACAACGTCCACCGACGTCTCAGGCGGCAGCGGTCCTGGGCGCAGTATTATGGCTGAGAAAGGGACAACAGGTGAATTTTTGGACTTGAAAGACCGCTTCCTCCCTTGTGAGCACGACCCAAATCAGGACATACCCTTTTCCTGTCCTGTCACCCCATAAGACTAATTTGACTGTTACTTGGGGCAGAGCCTCCTCTGTGTTGACACCCTGACAGAAGTAATTTTAGTAATTTTCTTCTTCCGGCAAATTTGGTTATCTAAACCTATTTGCAATTCAGTACTTATTCTGTGCAAAATTTGCTCAGGGGTTTTTTTTTTTTCCCATATGTTAGGAGCCTCTGAAATCCACAAGCATTTGCACAATGTCAACAGAAAGGGAGAAATAATGAAAATGAACAAAATCTGGCTACCACTACTAAAATACAGGAAATAAAGAGCAATACTCAAAAAAACAGGGGAATTCCAGACAAGAATTAATCAGAACCAGCTAATCACCCGCCAACAAAGAATTCCCCAGGCAGGAAGCAGCCAAGCCTTGAAGCTGCAAGGCTATTCAATGCTAATCAAGCTGGCCAATTGCAACATTCACACTTGCTCTAAGCAGACAAGAGTTTTTTCTCCCACCCTGGACATTATTCCACAGATATATAAACCTCACTTGCCTAGTTTCCAAGAGACCTCACAACCTCTGAGGATGCCTGCCATAGATGTGGGTGAAACGTCAACAAATGATTCCCACCGGCAATTCATATTTTGCTTGGTTTCTGAAGGATGTTACAGTGTTGGTGCCCAGTGGGCATCACATAGGAGAGCATGGGGCGGACATATTGTATGGACCTCATGGAGGAGACCCAGGTTACTCCTTCGGGAGGTGCACCCCAAAATTTCGGGGTAGAATTGTCATCCAGTTTCACCATCCGCACATCCATGGCACTCCCATCTCTCACTGTCTACATCTGTCCCTAGATGTTTCCGTTACTTGGTCCCAATGGCTCCTCCCCACCATGTTCTTCTGGCTCATCAATGCGGTTGTCGTCCTCGGCGCCTTCGTCCGGCTCTTCATTTACGGCGAACCGGTGACGCGGCTCCACTCTGAGCCCTCCGTCCTTTTTTGGAGGCACCGCAAGCAAGCCGACCTGGACCTGGCCCGAGTAAGTTGATTGTGTGCATTCAGCATTCCTACTTCCCATATTTACCGTATATACTCGAGTATAAGCTGGGTTTTTAGCCCTTTTTAAGACTGAAAAAGCCCCTCCCTCTAGCTTATACTTGAGTCATGGTTACCGTATATACTCAAGTATAAGCCCACCTGAATATAAGCCAAGGCACCTAATTTTACCACAAAAACCTGGGAAAACGTATGGACTTGAGTATAAGCGAAGGGTGGAAAATCAGCAGCAACTGGGAAATTTCAAAATAAAAATAGACACCAATAAAATTACATTAATTGGGGCATCGAGAGGTTCAATGTTTTTGAATATTTACATACAAAATTTAAAATAAGACTGTCGAACTCTGATAAAACTATTATTCCAACCTTCTTCAATGTAAATGTGCTCACGTATCCTTCCAAAAATAATAGAGTAAAATAATGAATGCAATAATAATAGAGAAAAATAATAAATGTAATAATAATAGAGTAAAATAATAATTGCAATAACAATAATAGAGAAAAAAATTACAACAGCAAAACAGCAGAGAGGAAACAACCAGGCACATCGTAACACCTCTCAACAAAAGATTTTCCCAGGCTCAGCCAGGCCTTCTAATGCTAATGAAGGTGGTCAGTTGAAACATTCACACCTAGCTCTTTGCCCCACCCCAGTCATTCCACAGATATATAAACCCATTTTCCTAATTCCAACAGACCTCACTACCTCTGAGGATGCTTGCCATAGATGCAGGCAAAACGTCAGGAGAAATGCCTCCAGAACATGGCCAATATAGCCCGAAAAAACCTACAAGAACCTAATAATAGAGAATAGTAATAAATGTAATAACAACAATAGAGTAAAATAATAGATATAATAATAGAGTAAAATAATAAATGTAATAAAATAATAGTAACAGAGTAAAATAATAATTTTAATAATAAAAATAGAGTAAAGTAATGTAACTATTTATTATTATTGTTATTACTATTATATTTATTATTTTACTCTTTATTATTGTAAAAATAACAATAAAATAGTAAAATAATAAATATAGTAATAATAAAGTAAAATAATAAATATAATAATAGAGTAAAATAATAATTGTAATAACAGTAATAGAGAAAAGTAATAAATGTAATAATAACAATAGAATAAAATAATAGATATAATAATAGAGTAAAATAATAAATGTAATAAAATAATAGTAACAGAGTAAAATAATAATTTTAATAATAAAAATAGAGTAAAGTAATGTAACTATTTATTATTATTGTTATTACCATTATATTTATTATTTTACTCTTTATTATTGTAAAAATAACAATAAAATAGTAAAATAATAAATATAGTAATAATAAAGTAAAATAATAATAAATGTAATAAAAATAATAACAACAGAGTAAAATAATAATTGTAATAATAATAATAATAATAATAATAATAATAATAATAGAGTAAGAATAAATGTAATAATAAGGCTTTCATGGCTGGAATCACTAGGTTTCTTGTGGGTTTTTTCGGGCTATGGAGCCATGTTCTAGAGGCATTTCTCCTGACGTTTCGCCTGCATCTATGGCAAGCATCCTCAGGTTGCTTCTCAGAGGTTGCCATAGATGCAAGCGAAACGTCAGGAGAAAATGCCTCCAGAACATGGCCAATAATAGAGTAAAATAATAAATGTAATAATAGTATAAAATAATAAGTGAATAATAGAGAAAAATAATGTAAACATAATAATAATAATAATAATAATAATAATAATAATAATAATAATAATAATGTATCATGTTCAACTTGTTGTCCATGAAGACTCCCAAGATCTTATGCATGTTTGTCGTTTTGCTTCCACAGGGAGACTTTGCCCAGGCGTCGCAGAACCTGTGGATGGCGCTGAAGGCCCTCGGACGCCCGCTGCCCACCTCCAACCTGGACTTGACCTGCAGCCTCTTGTGGAACCTGATTCGACATGTCCTGCAGCGCCTTTGGGTGGGCCGGTGGCTAGCCGGACGTGCCGGGGGCTTCTTCCGCGACCGGGAGCTCAAGGCCGACGTGCGCAAGAGTGCCTGTGATGCCGCTTTGGTCTACCACAAGCTGCACCAGCTGCACATGACAGGTGATCAAAGCAGGAGCACCCTCTGAGCATGAGCAGAGTGCTGTGCCCCAAATGCAGGGGCCTTGAGCTCTCATCATTGAAGTAGGGTCAAGGTATTGTAATTGTGTAGTTCGAAACTGTTATGTGCACCAAACATGATGTGAAATTTTCTGAGATTCTGGGATGCAACTGCAATTTTGTACCTCCGTCTCAGACTTGTCGGATTTCTTCTCTTTGTCCTCCAGGGAAACATGTGGCCGGTCACTTGTCCGCCATCAACATGGCACTGAGCGCTGTGAATTTGGCCGAATGCGCCGGGAACACCATCTCGGTGGCCACCTTGGCGGAGGTCTACGTGGCGGCCGCCTTGCGCGTCAAAGCCAGCCTCCATCGCTGCTGCCATTTCCTAGCGGTGAGTTCTTACACAATTTATTTGTTTACAGTATTTATACTCCGCCCTTCTCACCCCGCAGGGGATTCAGGGCGGATTACAATCCACATATACATGGCAAACATTCACATATAGACAGACACAGAGGCAATTTAACATTCCAGCTTTCCAGCTTTATGTGGGCATGCTTGATTCTGGCCACAGGGGGAGCTGCCTCTTCACCGTCCACTTGATGGAGTACTTCCTCATTCTTATGCACGCTGCTGGAAGGTTTTATGACGTCACAAATTAGTTAAATTAGCCTCCCCACATAAAGCGGTACCTAAATTTCCTACTTGACAGATGCAACTGTCTTTTAGGCTGCATAGGTCAACAGCAAGCTAGACTATTAATGGTTGGGAGCTCACTCCTACCCGGGCTGGCTTCGAAATCATGACTTCTTGGTTAGTAGTGATTTAAAGCAGCTGGCTACTAACTAGCTGCACCACACCTTGGTCCAATGAGCCCTCCTCTTTTATCTCGCCCGACTTTTTAATTAGTTTTAATCAGTTGGTCTTCTTGATTGCTACATGTTGCCCGCCCATTATGATAGTGCCTGTGCATATTTTTCATTTTTCATATTGTTATGTATTCATAGAATCATAGAATCAAAGAGTTGGAAGAGACCTCCTGGGCCATCCAGTCCAACCCCATTCTGCCAAGAAGCAGGAATATTGCATTCAAATCACCCCTGACAGATGGCCATCCAGCCTCTGTTTTAAAGCTTCCAAAGAAGGAGCCTCCACCACACTCCGGGGCAGAGAGTTCCACTGCTGAACGGCTCTCACAGTCAGGAAGTTCTTCCTCATGTTCAGATGGAATCTCCTTTTATTTAACTATGATGATGTTGTTTATTGTTCGCGTTTTCGGTTTGTGTTTTTGGTTTTCTTTTATTGTAATTGTCGTTTGGGCTTTGCCTCATGTAAGCCGCTCCGAGTCCCCATTGGGGAGATGGTGGCGGGGTAACAAATAAAGTTTATTATTATTTATTAATGACAAGACAGACAACAGATAGAGGTGTGTTTTGGCTCTTTCTCACAATTCGGCATTTTTTGGAGGTTGTGCTCAGTTCCGGCCACAGGGGGTGCTGTTGCTCCATCTTCGAAAGTTTGTAAACTTTCCTCCCAAACGCCGTGCCTAAAATACCTCCCTGCTTAATGCAGCTCCTATTCATCTACTCACATTGCTGATTTCAATCCACTAGGTGGGTGGTGGAGCTGGGCTGAAGGTCAGGAGCTCACCCTGACCTGGCTTTGAACTGTGTCAACCCTTCGGTTGGCAAGATTTACTGCATCTGCAGCTGATTAACCTGCTGTGCTAAAGCCGGGATCCTGGAAGTTGTTGACGGACTCATCCCCTTCCTCCCTTCTCCGCAGCGCTTCTTCCTGAGCAGCGCCCGCCAGGTCCTGCTTTCCCACAGTGGGACCGTCCCTCCAGCGCTGCAGTGGCTCTGCCATCCCGTTGGCCACCGTTTCTTCGTGGACGGTGACTGGGCCGTGAAGAGCTCCCCCCGGGAGAGCATCTACAGCTCCACCAGCAACCCAGGTACTCAGATCCGGGCCAGAAGAAAGCCAACATCAGCCATGGCTTCTTATAGAGTGCTAGAGTTGGAAGGGACCCCCAAGGGCCATCCAGTCCAATCCCCTTCTGCCCAGAAGAAAGACACAATCAAAGCCCTCCCGACAAATGTCTATCCAGTTTGTATAATAATAATAATAGAATTCTAGAGTTGGAAGAGATTGTAAGGGCCATCCAGTCCAATCCCCGTCTGCCTGGAAGAAAGACACAATCGAAGCCCTCCCGACAGATGGCTATCCAGTTTGTAATAATAATAATAATAATAATAATAATAATAATAATAGAATTCTAGAGTTGGAAGAGACTCTAAGGGCCATCCAGTCCAATCCCCTTCTGCTCAGAAGAAAGACACAATCAAATCCCTCCCGACAGATGGCTATCCAGTTTGAATAATAATAATAATAATAATAATAATAATAATAATAATAATAATAATAATAATAGAATTCTAGAGTTGGAAGAGACTCTAAGGGCCATCCAGTCCAATCCCCTTCTGCTCAGAAGAAAGACACAATCAAATCCCTCCCGACAGATGGCTATCCAGTTTGAATAATAATAATAATAATAATAATAATAGAATTCTAGAGTTGGAAGAGATTCTAAGGGCCATCCAGTCCAATCCCCTTCTGCCAGGAAGAAAGACACAATCAAAGCCCTCCCGACAGATGGCTATCCAGTTTGTATAATAATAATAATAATAATAATAATAATAATAATAATAGAATTCTAGAGTTGGAAGAGATTCTAAGGGCCATCCAGTCCAATCCCCTTCTGCCAGGAAGAAAGACACAATCAAAGCCCTCCCGACAGATGGCTATCCAGTTTGAATAATAATAATAATAATAATAATAATAATAATAATCGAATCCTAGAGTTGGAAGAGATTGTAAGGGCCATCCAGTCCAATCCCCTTCTGCCAGGAAGAAAGACACAATCAAAGCCCTCCCAACAGATGGCTGTCCAGTTTGTATAATAATAATAATAATAATAATAATAATAATAATAATAGAATCCTAGAGTTGGAAGAGATTGTAAGGGCCATCCAGTCCAATCCCCTTCTGCCAGGAAGAAAGACACAATCAAAGCCCTCCCGACAGATGGCTTTCCAATTTGTATAATAATAATAATAATATTAATAAATAAACCTAAAGCTCCAGAGAGCTTCTGTGCAACCTTTTCAAGGCTCCCTGCTTGAGTGGTGATGGCACGATCGTCAGCATAGATGAAACTCTTTGTCACTTCTGGCAGTGGCTGGCCATTTGCACAAATGATTAGCACTGGGTAGAAATATGTAGTTTGAGTGGCTGAGGGGGGAAAGGAAAGGGGCTGAGGCTGTTAGGAATTGTGGGAGTTGAAGTCCAATTAGTCCAGTTGTGTCGTGTGTAAGAGCATCTAAAGCTCCACAGAGTTTTTGTGCAACCATCTCAAAGCTCCCTGCTAGATGCAAACAGCACTTTAAGGGAATATGACTGGAATGAGACTGTTTTACTGTTTTAACGATGTCTTATGTATTGTTAATTATGCTTTTATGTCCAGTTGTGGTTTTAATTTTGTAATTTGTTATGTAATGGCTTCAGAATGGGGTCCATTGTAAGCCATCCTGAGTCCCCCTTCGGGGGTTGAGAAGGACGGGATAGAAATGCGAGAAATAATAATAATAATAATAATAATAATAATAATAATAATAATAATAGAGTGGTGATGGCATGATCATCAGCATAGATGAAATAATAATCATTGTCACTTCTGGCAGTGGCTGGCCATTTACTTAAATGATCTGCACTAGGTAAGAATATGAAGCTTGAACAGCAGACCTTTGGCCATGCATGGGCAAACTTCGGCCCTCCAGGTGTTTTGGACTTCAACTCCCACAATTCGTAATAGCTGGCTGAAGGGGGAAAGGAAAGGCCTGGGGCGGTTAGGAATTGTGGGAGTTGAAGTCCAATTAGTCCAGTGGTGTCATGTGTAAGAGCACCTAAAGCTCCAGAGAGCTTCTGTGCAACCATTTCAAAGCTCCCTGTTTGAGCAGTGATGGCACGATCGTCAGCATAGATGAAACTCTTTGTCACTTCTAGCAATGGCTAGTCATTTGTGTAAATGATCAGCTCTGGGTAGGAATATGTAGCTTAAGAGAGAGAATATTTAGAGTCGAGTCTGCAAACATCAAATCCCTGAATCAGATTTCCGTTCCTTCCCCAGCCGACCCTTTGGCTCAAGTGACCCAACTTTTCCGGGAACATTTGCTGGAGAAGGCGCTTTCTTGCGTCTCAAGGCTGGAGAGCCAGGCGCCCGTCAGCCACAGCGAAGGGTAAGCAATGCTTTCTATCCTTTCCTCCTCCATTGACAACCTGGGATCCTGGAATTGTTGGAAAGTGGAGCATTTTTTGCACATCTCTCTCTCCATCTTGCAGGGAATTTTCCGACGCCCTGGAGTACCTGCACTTCCTTAACAGCTGTGCGGATGCGGTCCCCAGTCCGTCCCCTTCCATCGGCACAAACATGGATGCTGCAATAGGTGAGGTTTGCTGAATGGAGACGAGATTGGAAGGAGAAAATTACAGATAGGAAAAGGTGGAAACAAAGGGAATAAAAACAATCTAGGAAAACAGCCTCAAAGCCGTCCTACCATCCAGTTTTGATTGTCATTGCACGAATTCATTATTCATTTATTGCACTGCAGATATATTTAAAAAACATACCCAGAAAATGTTAATAAAAATATTCACAGGAAAATTTCTGCAAAAAAAAAATACATAAAAATATTCTGAAATATATTTGCAGAAAAACATTCGTAAAAAATATTCACAAAAATATGTGTAAACGTATTCACAAAATACATTCCTACAAATATTAGCAGAAAATATTCAGTAAAATATTCGTAAAAATATTCACAAAATATGTGTAAACGTATTCACAAAATATATTCATACGAATAATAGCAGAAAATATTCAGTAAAATATTCGTAAAAATATTCACAAAAATATGTGTAAACGTATTCGCAAAATATATTCATCCAAATATTAGCAGAAAATATTTAGTAAAATATTCATAAAAATATTCACAAAATATGTGTAAATATATTCATACAAATATTAGCAGAAAATATTTAGTAAAACATTCGTAAAAATATTCACAAAAATATGTGTAAACGTATTCGCAAAATATATTCCTACAAATATTAGCAGAAACTATTCAGGAAAATATTTGTAAAAATATTCACAAAATATATTCATACAAATATTAGCAGAAAATATTCAGTAAAATATTCGTAAAAATATTCACAAAAATATGTGAAAATGTATTCACAAAATATATTCATACAAATATTAGCAGAAAATATTCAGGAAAATATTCGTAAAAATATTCACAAAATATGTGTAAATGTATTCACAAAATATATTCATACAAATATTAGCAGAAAATATTCAGTAAAATATTCATAAAAATATTCACAAAAATATGTGTAAACGTATTCCCAAAATATATTCCTACAAATATTAGCAGAAAATATTCAGTAAAATATTTGTTAAAATATTTGCAAAAATATGTGTAAACGTATTCGCAAAATATATTCATACAAATATTAGCAGAAAATAATTCAGTAAAATATTTGTAAAAATATTCACAAAAATATGTGTAAATGTACTCATAAAATATATTCATACAAATATTAGCAGAAAATATTCAGTAAAATATTCATAAAAATATTCACAAAATATGTGTAAACGTATTCACAAAATATATTCATACAAATAATAGCAGAAAATATTCAGTAAAATATTTGTAAAAATATTCACAAAAATATGTGTAAACGTATTCGCAAAATATATTCATACAAATATTAGCAGAAAATATTCAGGAAAATATTCGTAAAAATATTCACAAAATATGTGTAAATGTATTCACAAAATATATTCATACAAATATTAGCAGAAAATATTCAGGAAAATATTTGTAAAAATATTTGCATAAAATATTCCCTTCCCTTTGTCCCTAGGAACCGACCCCATTGCACACTGGTGGGCCTCAGTGGTGGCCATGGCCATCCATGGACTTCAAGGGGACGACGAAGCGGTGGAGAACCTGTATCCGCTGGTGGAGTCCATGCCCAAAGCCCTCCAGGCCTCTGAGTAAGTACAGGAGACACACCTGGGTCATGGCATCCTATAATAAACTAATAATAATAAACTTTATTTTTAACTCAAGGTGGCAATAGGGAGCAAGTCCAATGACTGAACCTTCCTCAAAGGAATGGAAGCTAGTGAATATGTAGGCAGCCATTCATAGAATCACAATACTGGAAGAGCCTCTAGTGTAGTAGTAGTAGTAGTAGTAGTAGAAACCCCAGGGTCCATCCAGTCCAACCACCTTCTGCCTTCATGCAGGAAAAGCACAATCAAAGCAGCCCCAATAGATGGCAATTCAACCACTGGAGTAGTAGTAGTACTAATAGAAATCCCAGGTGCCATCCAGTCCAACCCCCCTTTGCCTTCATGCAGGAAAAGCACAATCAAAGCAGCCCCAATAGATGGCCATCCAGCCTCTGGAGTAGTAGTAGTAGTAGCAGTAGTAGTAGAAACCCCAGAGGCCATCCAGTCCAATCCCCCTTTGCATTCATGCAAGAAAAGCACAATCAAAGCAGCCCCAATATATGGCAATTCAACCTCTGGAGGAGTAGTAGTAGTACTACTACTAGTAGTAGTAGAAGAAACCCCAGGGGCCTTCTAGTCCATTCCCCTTCTGCCTTCATGCAGGAAAAGCACAGAGCATTGCCAACAGATGACCATCCAGCCTCTGGAGCAGCAGCAGCAGCAGCAGTAGTAGTAGAAACCCCAGGAGCCATCCAGTCCAACCCCCTTTTTTTTTGCCTTCATACAGGAAAGGCACAATCAAAGCATCCCCAACAGATGGCCGTCCAGCCTCCGGAATAATGACAATAGTAGTAGTAGTAACCCCAGGGGCCATCCAGTCCAATCTCATTCTGCCTTCATGTAGGAAAAGCACAATCAAAGCACCTCTAACAGATGGCCATCTAGCCTCTGGAACAATAAGTAGTAGTAGTAGTAGTAGTAGTAGAAGCCCAAGTGGCCATCCAGTCCAACCCCCTTTTGCCTTCATGCAGGAAAAGCACAATCAGAGCATCCCCAACAGATGGCCATCCAGCCTCTAGAGTAGTAGTAGTAGTAGTAGTAACAGAAACCCCAAAGGCCATCCATGCGGGAAAAACACAATCTGCCTTCATACAGGAAAAGCACAATCAATGCACTCTCAACAGATGGCCATCCAGCGTTTGGAATAATAATTGTAGGAGCAGCAGCAGTAGAAACCCCAGGGACCATCCAATCCAACCCCCTTCTGCCTTCATGCTTGAAAAACACAATCAAAGGACCCCCAACAGATGGCCGTCCAGCCTCTGGAATAGTAGTAGTAATAGTAGTAGTAGCAGCAGTAATAACATAAACCCCAGGGACCATCGAGTCTAACCTCCTTCTGCCTTCATGCGGGAAAAGCACAATCAAAGGACCCCCAACAGATGGTCGTCCAGCCTCTGGAATAGTAGTAGTAGCAGTGGTAGTAGTAGCAGTAGTAGCAGTGGTAGTAGTAGTAGCAGCAGCAGTAATAACAGAAACCCCAGGGACCATCCAGTCTAACCTCCTTCTGCCTTCATACAGGAAAAGCACAATCAAAGCACTCCCAACTGATGGCCATCCAGCCTCTGGAATAATAATAATAGCAGCGGCAGCAGCAGTAGTAGTAGAAACCCCAGGGGCCATCCAATCCAATTCCTTTCTGTCTTCATGCACGAAAAACACAATCAAAGGACCCCCAACAGATGGCTATCCAGCCTCTGGAATAATAGTAGTAGTAGTAGCAGTAGCAGTAGCAGTAGCAGTAGCAGTAGTAGCAGAAACCCCAGGAGCTATCAAGTCCAATCCCTTTCTGCCTTCATGCAGGAAGAGCACAATCAAAGTACCCCTGACAATGGCCTAATGTTGTTGTTGTTATTGTTGATGATGATGATGAATCTTATTATGGATTTAGGAAGAGAGGAGTCTGGGCCCTAATTCTGTGGGCTATTTATTGCCTTTTCCTCCCTTTCTCCCTGATTATCACGACCAGAAGTGTGAAATGAATGGTTGCACCTTGGAGAGCTCCTTTAGCCCTCGAAATGATGCGGTGTCTCTTTGCGCAGCTTGCCAGGACCGTCCGATTCTTCTCTCCCCATTGCAGGAACCCTCTTCCCTGGGCGGCGCTGCACACTTTCAAGGCGGCTCGCATGCTGCTGGGCAAACTGGACTGCAGCCTGGGCCAGTGCGACGCCGCGAGCGACTACTTGCGCGAGAGTCTGGGCAGCAACGCTCCCACCAGCACCATCGACAGAGTGAGTCCTAGTAGAGTTGAATGGACGCAATCGGGGGGGGGGGGGGGGGAGCCGGGAGGAGCCTAACCCCCAAATTAGGAGGTTCTGGGTTTGGGTTGAGACACAAGGCCAGAGCTGTGGGAGGAAAACCACTTTGAGTCTTCTTTTGAGGAGGAAAAGCAGGGTATAAATCAGACCTGGGCAAAATTTGGCCCTCCAGGTGTTTTGGACTCCAACTCCCACAATTCCTAACAGCCTCAGGTCCCTTCCTTTTCACCTTCAGCCACTTAAGCGGTTAAGAATTGTGGGAGTTGAAGTCCAAAACACCTGGAGGGAGGGCTGAACTTTGCCCATGCTTGGTATAAATAAACATAAACATGATGATGATGATGAAGGCCTAAGGTTGTTAGGAATGATGGGAGTTGAAGTCCAAAACACCTGGAGGGAGGGCCGAACTTTGCCCAAGCCTGGTATGAATAAACAGAAACATAAACATGATGATGATGATGATGAGGGCCTGAGGCTGTTAGGAATTATGGGAATTGAAGTCCAACATGGCTGGAGGGAGGGCCAAACTTTACCCAGGCCTGGTAAAAATAAACATAAACATGATGATGATGATGAGGGCCTGAGGTTGTTAGGAATGATGGGAGTTGAAGTCCAAAACACCTGGCGGGAGGGCCGAGCTTTGCTCAGGCCTGGTATAATTAAACATAAACATCATGATGATGATGAGGGCCTGAGGCTGTTAGGAATGATGGGAGTTGAAGTCCAAGACACCTGGAAGGAGGGCCAAACTTTACCCAAGCCAGGTATGAATAAACAGAAACAGAAACAGAAACATGAGGAGGAGGAGGAGGAGGGCAATGAGGGCCTGAGGCTGTTAGGAATGATGGGAGTTGAAGTCCAAGACACCTGGAAGGAGGGCCAAACTTTACCCAAGCCAGGTATGAATAAACAGAAACAGAAACAGAAACATGAGGAGGAGGAGGAGGAGGGCAATGAGGGCCTGAGGCTGTTAGGAATGATGGGAGTTGAAGTCCAAGACACCTGGAAGGAGGGCCAAACTTTACCCAAGCCAGGTATGAATAAACAGAAACAGAAACATAAACATGAGGAGGAGGAGGAGGAGGGCAATGAGGGCCTGAGACTGTTAGGAATGATGGGAGTTGAAGTCCAAAACACCTGGAGGGAGGGCCAAACTTTGCCCAAGCCTGGTATGAATAAACAAAAACATAAACATGATGATTATGTCAAAATGAAGTTGGGAACACCCTGAAATAAGAAATCCTCCCCACTTTTTTTGTTTACGTCTTGGATTTTCGGCCCGTTTTTGGGGTTCTTTGGGGTGCCAATTCAGAAACAGATTGCATTAGCTCTAGCCACTTAGATAAGGGTATTGTGGTTTTCTATGGGCAGATGGCGCATGTTTATCTCAAAAGCTAGAGCTGATAGGGAGAAACTGCTACCGTGTTTGGAATCAGCAGGACAAAGATACCCAAAAGCAAGCTGGCTCCAAAAGTGCAATTTTTTTAGTCCCAGGAACTTTAGGATGGAGTTAAGCATATGGATACATAAACATATAGATTAGGAATCCAAAGGAAAGCAGCAAGGTGTGTGGCCAAGGCGATGGGAACCATTTCCAACCTTCTCCCTCTTTACAATACGATGCATCGGAGCTGAAGTGGCGGTTTCGGGGGTGCATTGTAGTTGCATTGCATGTGTGGCCAGAGCTGTGCAATGCCCCTCCAGTGCAGCCCTGAGGCCGTCCTCAACCAGCGGATGACCATTGAGATAGTGTTTAGGACGCGGGGTAGACTCATAGAATTGGGAGAGAGACCCTAAGGATTATCTATTTCAACCCCCTTCTGCCACAAAGGACGGCACAATCAAAGCACTCCCGACAGATGGCCAGAGGAGGAGACTCTACCATGTGTTGAGGTAGCATATTCCACCGCTGATTAGAGTGAATTGGGCAGTCAAATAAAGGTACCCGCAGAGCCAAACTTATTATAAAAGCCGCCCACTTGAGAGATCTCTTTATCTCTGTAGCACAGCTGGTTAATCATCAGCTGCAATAGTTCACTGCCGACCAAAAGGTGACAGGTTCGAAGCCCGAGTCGGACTGAGCACCCAACTGTTAAGCCTAGCTTACTGTGCACCTAAGCCAGTGTTTCTCAACCTGGGGGTCAGGACCCATGAGGGGGTGTCAAAGGGGTCGCCAAAGACCATCAGAAAACATAGTATTTTCTATCCGTCATTGGGATTCTGTGTGAGAAGTTGGACCCAATTCTATTGTTGGTCAAATTCAGAATGCTCTTTGATTGTAGGTGAACTATAAACCCCAACAACTACAACTCCCAAATGTCAAGGTCTATTTCCCCCAGACTCCACCAGTATTCACATTTGGGCATATTGAGTATTTGTGCCAAGTTTGGTCCAGATCCATCATTGCATGAATCCACAGCACTCCTCTGGATATAGGTGAACTATAACTCCCAAACTCAAGGTCAATGCCCACCAAACCCTTCCAGTGTTTTCTGTTGGTCATGGGAGTTCTGTGTGCCAAGTTCGGTTCAAATCCATAGCTGGTGGAGTTCAGAATGTTCTTTGATTGTAGGTGAACTATAAATCCCTGCAACTACAACTCCCAAATTACAAAATCAATCCCCCCCCCCCCATCCCCACTAGCATTCACATTTGGGCATATTGGGCATTTGTGCTCAATTTAGTCCAGTGAATGAAAATCCATCCCGCATATTGGAAATTTACATTACGATTTATAACAGTAGTAATATGACAGCTATCAAGTAGCAACGAAAACAATATGGTTGGGGGTCACCACAACATATGGAACTGCATCAAGGGGTCACGGCATTAGCAAGGTAGAGAACCACTGACCTAAGCAGTGTGAAAATAGCTGAGCTGTGAGTAGAGAAATTAGGGACCACTTAAAGTGGGGAGGTATTTACTTATTTATTTATTATTTACTGCCTTTGTATACCGCCTTTCTCAGCCAGAGGCGACGCAAGGCAATCCACAGTCGGCAGCAATTCGATGCCATAACAAATATCAAAATAGAGTTAAAGCAATTATAGAAACAATTCAACATTTAAAATGTAATATGTAAAAACAAGATCCTCAGCGTCTCCTTACTAAAATCGTTGTCCGGTTGCATCGGCAGTCATTCCATATATTTGTTTACGTTGAATTGTGCTCCAGTAGAAAAAGCTACGTAGTTTTGCGCAAGTACTGTAATGTATTTTTTTGTTTTTTGGCTTTTAAAGTCCCATTTGCTGTGTTTTTCAGTATGTTTATGAGTGATCATAGAATCAAAGAGTTGGAAGAGACCTCATGGGCCATCCAGTCCAACCCCATTCTGCCAAGAAGCAGGAATATTGCATTCAAATCACCCCTGACAGATGGCCATCCAGCCTCTGTTTAAAAGCTTCCAAAGAAGGAGCCTCCACCACACTCCGGGGCAGAGAGTTCCACTGCTGAACGCTCTCACAGTCAGGAAGTTCTTCCTCATGTTCAGATGGAATCTCCTCTCTTGTAGTTTGAAGCCATTGTTCCGCGTCCTAGTCTCCAAGGAAGCAGAAAACAAGCTTGCTCCCTCCTCCCTGTGGCTTCCTCTCACATATTTATACATGGCTATCATGTCTCCACTCAGCCTTCTCTTCTTCAGGCTAAACATGCCCAGCTCCTTAAGCCGCTCCTCATAGGGCTTGTTCTCCAGACCCTTGATCATTTGAGTCGCCCTCCTCTGGACACATTCCAGCTTTTCATAACTCTCTCTTATTGTGGTGCCCAGAATTGGACACAATATTCCAGGTGTGGTCTAACCAAGCAGAATAGAGGGGTAGCATGGGTTCTAGACACTATGCTCCTATTAATGCAGGCCAAAATCCTATTGGCTTTTTTTGCCGCCACATGACATTGTTGACTCATGTTTAACTTGTTGTCCACGAGGACTCCAAGATGCTCACTTGTTGGCCTGAGAGGTGTCTTGTGTCCAAATGTGGTGTCAATTCACCCAGTGGTTGTTGAGTTATGTTAATCTCACAAACAAACATTACATTTTTATTTATATAGACTAGCCCTCCCCTGCCACGTGTTGCTGCAGCCCAGTCTGTGTATATGTGTTCTGTGTGTATATATGTGTGTGTATATGTGTATATGTGGTTTTGCGCTTGTGTTTTAATGTATTTTATTATTATTATTATTATTATTATTATTATTATTATTATTATTATCTTTATTTGTGCCCCACTAACATCTCCCGAAGGACTCGCTGTGGCTTACAAAGGCCAAGGCCCTCAATAAAACAACAGCACAACAAATACAACAATAAAACTCATAAAGCAAACCAATAAACAATAAAAGCAATAACAATAAAACATTAAAAACAATACATCATAACACATTTAAAACTAGGGCCGGGCCAAATGTAATGACTAATTTTTTGGGGGTTTTTTTTTGGCTTATTAAGTCTCTTCTGTTGTGTTTTTCAGTGTTTTAAAGAGTGACGGTCACTCGTTGGCCTGATAGGTGTCTTGTGTCCAAATTTGGTGTCAATTCTTCCAGTGGTTTTTGAGTTATGTCAATCCCACAAACAAACACTACATTTTTTTATTTATATAAATGGGACCATCCAAAACAAACAAAAACAACATTCTGGCTTTTTCCTAATAAACAGTATTACTAAATGACTAAATGATATTACCTAAAACACTCCAAAACAATGCCTTTTTCAAATAACCTCTGGGTACCCAAGTTAGTAATAAATAAATCTCACAAATAAATTGAGCTGAATTCTCCCACCGATTCTTTTACACTTGCCACTCTCCAAATTTCATCTTGTAATTTAATCCCATCTTGCAACTTATTATTTAATCAAATTTGAATGTGTTTTAATGTATTTTAGTTAATTATTACAGGAGTTTTAGGATAGCGATTAGCATTGCAATTGAGAGAGTCCTCCTCTGCCCTCCGCGTACTTTTCCTCGGCTGACGGCTGTCCATTTTCCAGCATTCTTTCTATCTCTCCTTCTTCAGGCCGTCCAGTTCCTCTTGTGCGACCTTCTGCTCATCACTCGCACTCGGCTCTGGCAGCAGCAGATGCAAGCGGCCCAGCCCCGCGGCGGACCCTACCAAGCCTCGGCCCACGAACTGCGCGGCTTTCAGCAGGAGCTCAGCAGTCTCCGGCGCCTGGCGCAAGCGGACAGACCCGCCATGCACAGGGTGAGCACGGATTCCTGGGAGTCAATGTTCCCCTCCTTCCCTGAAGGCCCATTTTGCGTCATAGTTCTTGCAGGGTGGAGTTAGAAGGAGTCTACAGATCTCCCAATGGTTTCTGAACGTCGAACGCTTAAGTGGCTGAGGGGGGAAAGGAAAGGGCCTGAGGCTGTTAGTAATGGTGGGAATTGAAGTCCAAAACACTTGGAGGGTCAAAGTTTGCCCATGCCTCCTCTAGAGCCAGAAGTCCCCAAACAAAGCCTTGTAGGCCAGATGCAGCCCTCTACAGCCTTGACCTGTCCCTTGCCCTAAACTTAGCAAAATGCCTTTGTTGGGATTCCCTTTCAGGTTTTCCTCCACGAGGCCACGGCCCGGCTGATGGCCCGTGCCAGCCCCACTCGGACCCACCAACTATTGGACCGGAGCCTGCGCCGAAGGGGGGCCTCGAACCTGAACAAAGGAGGTGAGCGAGCCAGGAAGGGAGAGCCAGGAAGGGAGAGTTGGTTGGGCAGGTGGTTTTCTATACTCTGATGGTTGTGTGTCTTGCTGTCCTCCACCTTGGACATTGTGGGTCGCCGTGATCACTGACATTTCACAGATGCCAACCAGGAGATGTGTAGCTGAGCATCAACAACACAGTGTGACCAGATGAGGGAGCAAACATTGCTAAGGAGGAAGAAACCCAAGTTACAAGCAAGATATTTATTATTATCATTTATTTACTTCATTTATATACCGCTTTTCTCAGCCCTCAGGCGACTCAAAGCGGTTAACAACAGCAAAATTCAATGCAAAAATATCAGATAGGTTCTGTAGGTTTGTTCTGAAGTTGAATTTGTATGTAAGTTGGAACATACATACATCTATGAACCTATTCCACTTTGAATTTGTATGTAAGTTGGAATAGGTAAAGGTTTTCCCCTAACTCCTGTCATATCTGACTCTGGGGGGTGGTGCTCATCTCCATTTCCAAGCCAAAGAGCTGGTGTTGTACATAGACACCTCCAAGGTCATGTGGCCTGCATAACTGCATTGAGCGCTATTACCTTCCCGCCGGAGCAGTACCTATTGATCTACTCACATTTGCATGTTTTCGAACTACTAGGTTGGCAGAAGCTGGGGCTGACAGTGGAAGCTCACATTGTTCCCCGGATTCAAACCTGTGACCTTTCGGTCAACAAGTTTAGCAGCTCAGCAGTTTAACCCACTGCGCCACAGGGAGCTCCAAGTTGGAGTAGGTGTGTGTGTATGTGAATGAATTGTTTATTGTACTAGCCATAGGCCATGAATGTGTGTGTGTGTGTGTGTGTGTGTGTATATATATATATATATATATATGGAGCCCCCTAGTGACATAGCGGATTAAACCGCTGAGCTGCTGAACTTGTTGACCAAAAGGTTGGTGGTTCGAATCTGGGGAGAGGGGTGAGCTCCTGCTGTTAGCCCCAGCTTCTGCCAACCTAGCAGTTCAAAAATATGGAAATTTGAGTAGATCAATAGGTACCCCTTCTGTGGGAAAGTAATGGCGCTCCATGCAGTAATGCTGGCTACATGACCTTGGAGGCATCGATGGACAATGCCGGCTCTTTGGTTTAGAAATTGAGATAAGCACCAACCCCCCCAGAGTCGGACACGACTAGACTTGATGACAAGGGGAAACCTTTACCATATATATATATATATAGAGAGAGAGAGATAGCTTTGGATCACATAGGGAGGGGTTAACACCCCTGTAGTGTTTCCTTTGCTGTCTGTGCCCCTGTTCAGAAGATCTCACTTACTTTCCGTCCCTGTGAGAATTGGGCTCGTACATGGTCTGTGTCTTTGCCTTCTCCTGCTGTGGACCTGGAGTATTGTGGTCTTACCACCCTCCCTCCCTTTCCCAACCTGACTAATACTGGGTTGTTGTAGGTTTTTCGGAAGAGAACATGGCCATACAGCCCCAAAAACCTACCACAACCCAGTGATTCCGGCCATGAAAGCCTTCGACAAGACACTGACCAATCCTGTCTCTCTTCCAGCCAGCGAACAAGACAGCCGCCCGACGGCGAGGGAGCACGCCGAAGCCCTCCTCCTCGCCTGCTCCTACCTGCCCCCCGCCTTCCTCTTGGGGCCCGGTCAGCGGGTGGGCATGTTGGCCGAAGCGGCCCGCTCCCTGGAGAAGCTGGGCGACAAACGGACACTCCACGAATGCCAGCAGATGATCATCCGGCTCAGCAGCGGCTCCACCGTCACCTCCAGCTAGAGACGACATTGGGGTCCAGGACTTCAGAACGGGGGGGATGGAGACCCCTTCCTCTGAGAGCAGAAGGGAAACTAAGACCTAGCAGAGAACGAGGGCTTGCTGCCCATCGACTTCCTCCTTTCTTTCCAGGTAACTGTGACTCTTGAGGGGTTGCTCTCCTACCTCCCGTAAACGTCTCCGGGAAGCCCCTCTCGAAGCTGTTGCTGAGCAAGGACACAGCGAAGAAGCCGTGGTGGTGGGCTTAAGTCAGGAGGGGGATATATTTTCACTTATTGCAAAATCAGCGGAGATTGACTCAGGTTTTAAGACTCTTACGGGGTTAGGCACAACCATACTTCAATCCTCCCGGAAACCAACGCAGACACGGTTTCCGCCAGTTCTCTCACCTCCGTATCTATGTCTTTCCAATAATCTTCTATTGCAATGACATCTTTTCCTATGCGTCCTGCAATGTCCCCTACTTCCTCCGGGAATGTCCTTGCTTCTCCCGGATGCTGGAAATCCATACGACAAGGGAGGCCCCTGGTGGCAGCTCCCAGCATTGCAGGATGTCCACAGACCAGGTCTGGATAAGCTTTGGCTGTATGTTCTTTTTCCGCAACTGACTCTTATTGGCTGTTGCATCCCTTATGTGAGCCTTATGGCCTCCATCTGAGGCCTCCCTTTTTTTTTGCACAGAGGGCAAAATTATCCAGCTTTGAGAAGAAGGTATCACACAGCTTGGAGAAGCCCGGGGTTCAAAATGCAAGAAGCAGAAGGCATCATTTTGCATCATTTCTAGATTGCCACTTGGTGGGCTTTGGGGCCGAAAACAACCGACTGAGAGTGCGGATTCCCATAATTTCCAACAATTGCATTGCTGGGGAGGGTTTTTCACACGACACCATCGCTCCCTTTTGAGATTTCAGTTCGGGGAGGGATACAGACAGTACTCAAAGCTTTGTTGTCAAAAGCTTTCATGGCCAGAATCACTGGGTTGCTGTGAGTTTTCTGGGCTGTATGGCCATGTTCCAGAAGCATTCTCTCCTGACGTTTCACCCACATCTATGGACAGCATCCTCAGAGGTTGTGAGGTCTGTTGGAAACTAGGCAAGTGAGGTTTATATATCTGTGGGATAATGTCCAGGGTTAGAGTCCAGAGGGTTAAAGCACTGAGCTGCTAAACTTGTTGATCAAAAGGTCGCAGGTTCAAATCTGGGGAGCGCCGGGAGCTCCCGCTGTTAGCCCCAGCTTCTGCCAACCTAGCAGTTCAAAAACATCCACATATGAGTAGATCAATAGGTAAAGCTCTTGCAGGAAGGTAACAGTGCTCCATGCAGTCATGCTGGCCACATGACCTTGGAGGTGTCTACGGACAACGCCGGCTCTTCGGCTTAGAAATGGAGATGAGCACCACCCCAGAGTCGGACACAACTGGACTTAATGTCAGGGGAAAATCTTTACTTAATGTCCAGGGTGGGAGAAAGAACTCTTGTCTGCTTGAGGCAGGTGTGAATGTTGCAAATGACCATCTTGATTAGCACTAAGTGGCTTTGCAGCTTCAATGTCTGACTGATTGCTGCCTGGCGGAATCCTTTGTTGGGAGCTGTTAGCTGGCCCTGATTCATTCTTGTATGGAAGAGCAACACCCAAAAAGAAGGAGAATTCCAGACAAGAACCAATCAGGGCCTGCTATCAACAACCAACAAAAGATTCCCCCAGGCAGGAAGCAGCCAAGCTTCGAAGCTGCACGGCCATTTAGTGCTACTCAACATGGCCATTTGCAATAGTCACACCTGCCTCAAGCGGACAAGAGTTCAGGACAGTAAATAAAGAGCAACAGTAAAAAAAAAAAAACAGAAGAAATCCAGACATGAAACAATCAGGGCCAGTTAACACCTCCCAACAAAGGATTCCCCCAGGCAGGAGCCAGGCTTTGAAGCTGCAAGGCTATTCAGTGCTAACCAAGCTGGCCAATTTCAATATTCACACTTGCCTCAAGCAGACAAGAGTTCTTTCTCCCACCATGGATTCCAGATATATAAACCTCACTTGCCTAGTTTCCAACAGACCTCACAACCTTTGAAGATGCCTGCCATAGATGTGGACGAAACGTCAGGAGAGTATGCTTCTGGAACATGGCCATACAGTTTGGAAAAAGACAGCCTTTGTTTTGTTTTGGTACGACACTATACAGTATTGGCATATTTCTTTGTTTACATAATGCTGGAAGGAAGCAATTCGGAACCCAAAACAGCAGCTCAGCGGACTCCGAGAAATGCGATAACTACCATCATCTTGTCCTTCCTTTGGGAGCCCAGAGCCTTCTCGTGGTTTAATTTCCCTCCTTTCCCACCAGTAATAAAGCAGCAACAACAGTCCAAATCGTAAATTTAGGGACAAAGCACAGGCGCCCCATCCGGAAAGGAATATAGGCACACGTAAGGTGCGTACTGCATACACAAATATATATATTCTATATCCCTCTCTGCTCCAATCTGAACCGCTCAGCCACCGTTCTTCCATGAAAACATATTTTCGTAGCGTTGAGGATTTTTTTGTACATACGATAAAATTTGGAAAGAAACAAAACACGTATGTCTCTGTTTTCAATGCTCGATTAAAGGGATGGGGAGCGTCTGGGTGACTTTGGAGAAAGGGGTCAGCTCTTTATTAGGTCTGCAGCGTGAAAATTATTTCCCCTTCACATTAAGTCTAGTCAAGTCCGACACTAGGGGTGGTGCTTATCTCCATTTCTAAGCCGAAGAGCCGCCTTTGTACGTAGACGCCTCCAAGATCATGTGGCCATCATGTCTGCATGGATCGGTATTACCTTCCCACCCGAGTGGTATCTATTGATCTACTCACATGTGCATGTTTTCGAACTTCTAGGTTGGCAGAAGCTGGTGCTAACAGAAGGAGCTCACCCCTCTCCCCAGATTTGAACCGCCGACCTTTTGGTCAGCAAGTTCAGCAGCTCAGCAGTTTAACCTTGCTGCAGCTCCGAATGAACAAATATGCACATATATTTTTTTGTGGGGAAAAACCCATCTGTGAAAGAGCGATACCACATTTAAAATGAAACACAATTTTAACCAAAAGAAAGTTTTTCAATGGGAAATGTGAGCCTGATGAGATAGTTAAGTGAATTAGGATGTTTGGGACTTCCTCCCTCCTTTTCTTTTCCTTTTCTTTCTCTTTCCCTTTCTTTCTTTCTTTCTTTCTTTCCCGTTCCCTCTTTTGCTATCCTTCCATTCTTCTAATTACAAATAAATTAAATTTTGATTACCAAATAAATAAAATTAAATTTTATTATATTTATATTATGAAATAACTATATTAATTAATTACTTAATTATTACATTATTCCTTCTTTGATTGTCCTGAAGAATATGTACTAAATTTATTAATTTATTCTTACCTCTTTTGACACAAATACGTTCCCGTATTCTCCCTACTTTAACTTTGTCTTCTTCTACCTTTCTTTTACTTTTCTTCTTCCTCATTCTTTATTATGAAACAGCCATCTTTCTTCTCTTTACCTTTTCTTTGGTGCCTTTGTTTTCCAGATTCTCCCATCATTCCCTTTTTCTTCTCCTTCTATTCATTTTCTTTATCTTTCTTTCCTCATTCATATATATGTCTTTATATATTCTTTATTCAATACATGTTTTTTGCTTCTATCTTCCTTCTTCCTCCCTCTCTCATTCCTTCCTTTTTCTTCCCCCCCCTCCCTCCTTCCTTCCTTCCCTTTTTCTCTTCTCCTCCTTTCTTCCCTTTTTCTTCCTCCCTCCCTTTTCCTTTTCTTTCTTTCTCTTTCCCTCTTTCGCTGTCCCTCCGTTCCTGTCTTTCTCCCTCATTCCCTTTTTCTTCATCTCTCCCTTTCTTTTCCTTTTTTTTCATTTTCTTTCTTTCTTTCCCTCTTTGCTATCCCTCCATTCCCATCTTTCTCCCTCATTCCCTTTTTCTTCATCTCTCCCTTTCTTTTCCTTTTCTTTCTTTCCTCATTATCTTCTTTCTTTCTCTTTCTTTCCCTCTTTTGCCATCCCTCTGTTCCCGTCTTTCTCCCTCATTCACTTTTTCTTCCTCCCTCCCTTTTTTTCTTCTTTCTTTCTTTCCTCATTCTCTTCTTTCTTTCTTTCTTTCCCTCTTTCGCCGTCCCTCCGTTCCTGTCTTTCTCCCTCATTCCCTTTTTCTTCCTCCTTCCACTTCTTTTCCTTTTCTTTCTTCTCATGGGAGTATCACTCTGTTTGATCGATTGAGGACATTATCCAACAAAACACACCAGAGTCCTATAAACATCGAAAACGATGGTGCTCTCAATACCCTATGAGAACATAGCCACGTCATAGTCTGAAGCATCCATAGGACTCTTGACTATGGGATCATAGCCAGGCATGTATTAATGACATCATCTGGCCATGGGAACATAGCCAAGTGTGTATTTTTGACATCACCTTTGACATCCGTAGGATTTTGGCTATGAGAACATATCCAGTTGTGCATTGATGATATCATTGCCTAATGTGTCCACTAGACTCTGGTTATGAGGATGTACCCAGTCTGTACAGATGACATCATTCGTGGCTTCCAGAAGTCACTGGCTATGAGAACAGAGCTGGATGTGTGTTGATGAACATTAGCATCCATAGAGCTCTGGCTATGAGAATGTATCCAAGCATGCATTGGTGACATCAATGGAGGTGTCCATATTATTTTGACCATGAGACCATAGCCAGGCATGAATTGACAACACCAATGGAGGTTTCCAAAGGACTTTGAGGACATATTCAGGTGTGTATTAATGACATCATCCACTGAGCCTTCCAGAAGTCTCTGGCTATGAGAACATAGTCATGTATTGATGGCATCAATGGAAGTATCTATAGGATTTTGACCATGGGGGCATACCCAAGCATGTATTGATGGCATCAATGGGGGTCTCTATTGGACTTCAAGGGTATTCTCTGGCATGTATAGATGACATCATCAACCGAAGCTTCCTTATGACTGGAATCAATGAAAGTATCTATAGGATTTTGACCATGAGGACATACCCAGGCATGTATTGATGACATAAATTGCAGCGTCTCTTGGACTTTGAGGGCATACTCTGGTGTGTATAGATGACATCATCAACCCAACCTTCCATAAGACTCTGTCTGTGAGAACATAGTCATGTATTGATGGCATCAATGGAAGTGTCTATAGGATTTTGACCATGGGGACATACCCAGGTATGTATTGATGACATCAATGGCAGTGTCTATTGGACTTTGAGGGCATACTCTGGCATGTATAGATGACATCATCAACCTAGGCTTCCATAAGACTGGTTATGAGAACATAGCCATGTATTGATGGCATCAATGAAAGTGTCTGTAGAGTTTTGATCATGAGGACATACCCTGGTATTGATGACATCAATGGGGGTATCTATAGGACTTTGAGGATATATAGCCAGGCATGGATTGATGACACCAATGGAGGTGACCAAAGGGCTTTGAGGACATATTCAGGTGTGTATTGATGACATCATCAACTAAGCCTTCCTTAAGACTCTGGCTATGAAAAAGTAGGCATGTATTGATGGCATCAATGGAAGTATCTAGAGGATTTTGACCATGAGGGCATACCCAGCCATGTATTAATGGGGGTGTCTGAGGACATATGATCAGGCATGGATTGATGACACCAATGGAGGTGTCCAAAGGACTTTGAGGACATGTTCAGCTGTGTACAGATGACATCATCAACCAAGGCTTCCATAAGACTCTGGCTATGAGAACATAGGCATGTATTGATGACATCAATGGAAGTGTCTAGAGGATTTTTACCACAGGGACATACCCAGTCATGTATTAATGGGGGTGCCTATAGGATATTGAGGACATATAGCCAGGCATGGATTGATGGAGGTGTCCAAAGGACTTTGAGGACATGTTCAGGTGTGTACATCAACCAAGGCTTCCATAAGACTGGCTATGAGGACGTAGGCATGTATTGATGACATCAACAGAGGTGTCCATAAGACTTTGAC